GATGTTTCTGTGAGCTCACATTCGACTGCATCTCCTTCCTCGGCTTCGGTCCCACCTTCAACTAGTGATCTTCCCGTTGTTCTCCGTAAAGGAACCCATGATATTCGCCCTCCAATCAGATATTCAATTAATATTGGTTACCGTTGTCTTTCTCCATCATATTTTGCATGTCTTTCCTCTTTGTCTTCTATGTTTAATCTAAGACTACAAGTGAAGAACTTTCACATTTCGGATGGAGACAGGCTATGATTGATTAAATGAGTGCTCTTCAGCACAGTGGGACATGAGATCTAGTCCTTCTTCCGTCAAAGAATTCTATTATCGACTGTCGCTGGGTTTAGGCTGTTAAGGTTGGTCCCGATGGTAAAGTGGATTGTCTTAAAGCCCACTTGGTGGCGAAGGGTTTCACTCATGTGTTTGGACTGGATTATGGTGACACTTTTTTCTGTGGCGAAGATGTCTTATGTTCGCCTCTTTATTGTCATGGCTGCTATCCACCACTAGCCTATTTATCAACTTTATATGGAGCAACCTCCTAGGTTTGTTGCTTATGGGGAGTCGGGTCTTATTTGTCGTCTCCACAAGTCTCTATATGGTCTTTAGCAATCTCCACGAGCTTGGTTTGGCAGATTTAGCATTGTTGTTCAATAATTTGGTATGACTAGGGGTGTTCATTAACCGATCCAAACCGATTCAAACTGCGATGAACGAACCGAAAAACCGATAACAGAATAAACCGAAAAATCAAAAACCGAAAAAAACCCTCAAATTTTAATTGGATTGGATCAGCTTTTGGATGGGTTGATGAAAACTGATCAAATTCAAATCGATCCAATATATTAATTTCTCTTTACCTACTTGGGTCTTTCCCTAATCATAGCCTAAAAATTTCTAAACTAAAGACCCATTAACCCATCAACTAAACCCAAGAAAAAATCTAGTCACATCTCATCCACAAAATTTTATCTTTATAGAGATTCACATCTCATTGTAAAAGGAAAAACTATATTATAGTTTATTAATGCTTTTGTATTTCAAAAAAAAATTTACAAAGCCAATATATAAAAGATGTTATTTGCACAATAATCATGAAATAAATTTTAGGATTTTGAAAGAACCGAAAACCGATCCAATCCAAACCGAAAAAAATTGGATTGGATCATATTGGATTTAAAAAAAAATTCAAACCGAATGGATGATTATATGATCAAACCAAAGGGATTAGATCAGATGATTTTTTCTTCCAAAACTGATCCAATCCAGACCGCGAACACCCCTAGGTATGACTTGCAGTGAGACAGATCATTATCTCTTTTATTGTCATTTAGCTTCCGGGTTTATCTACTTGGTGATATATGTTGATGATATTGTCATCACATGTAGTGATAATCATGGCATTACTCAGTTGAAGCAAAATTTATGCCATCATTTTCAGACTAAGGATTTTGGAAAACTTCGATATTTCTTGGGAATCGAGGTGGCCCGATCTAAAGATGGAATTGTGATATCTCAGAGAAAATATGATCTAATATTCTTGAAGAGACTGCTTTGTTACATTCTAAGTTTGTTGATACTCTTATGGATTCGAGTGTCATGCTTCTGTCGAATTATGGGAGCCCTTTTTAGATCCTGAAATGTATAGAAAATTGGTTGGAAAACTAAACTACTTCACAGTCACTCGGCCTAACATTTCATTTGCAGTTAGTGTGGTAACTCATTTTCTTAATTCTCCTTATCAAGAACAATGGAATGCCATCATTCGTATTCTTAGGTATATCAAGGCATTTCCAGGAAAAAGGTTTTGAATATAAAGATAAAGGTAATGTTAAAGTTGTTGGATGCTCTGATGCTGATTGGGCCGATTGTCCTACTGATAGGAGATCTACTACTAGATATTGTGTCTTTGTTGGAGGCAACTTGATTTCCTAAAAAAATAAGAAGCAGAATGTAGTCGACAGATCAAGCGATGAAGCATGGTATCGCTCCATGGCTACTACTATTTGCGAGCTCATATGGCTTAAGCAATTTCTTAGAGAGCTCAAGTTTGGAGACATTGGACCAGTAACCCTCATTTGTCATAACCAAGCCGCACTACATATTTCTTCAAATCTAATGTTTCATGAAAGAACCAAGCATATCGAGATAGATTGTTACTTTGTTCGAGAGAAGGTCCTTGCTAGTGAAAATAAGACAAATTTTGTATCCTCTAATGATCAATTAGCATATGTATTTACGAAGTCTTTGAAGAGTCTTTGAATATAGTATATATATAACAAGCTTGATGCTTATGATTTATATGTTTCAGCCCGTGTGAAAAATGTTATATACATAATAAAAATATTATAGGTTTACTTGCGCATCATATATTTTAAGTTGTATATATTCAATAATTCTATATATAATATAACATTCGCTGCGTTTTTACCCACAAACTTATTCTAATATTTCTTTCGCATCACTTGTAATTAACCTACTCACACTGTATCAAATTAATCACGTCCACCCAAAAAAAAGTCGCCCATCTGCATCGAATTAAAAAACGTAGGACACATTTTGGAGCCCAAGGATTTGGACCACTCTCAACCTCCACTTATATATTCACACATGTATAACAAATTCATCTTGTTATAGGTGGAGGAATTTATCAATCCCACCCTCAAAGTAAGTTTGTTCCACCTTCAATTATTCATCGCTGAGAAGTGAGTAGAGCTTTATCACTTCTGTACCGTAATAAGATTATGATAAAATTAGGCCCAGAGAGGCCAAGACACGTGCACGGTAGGGATGTCCAAGTACATTGTCATCATCCACTTTACCAAACTTATAAAGCTCATAATATAAAGTGAAAAAAGGTTTTTTAAAAGATATAACTTTGAATAATTTTAAATTCTAACCGTTGATATCCGTCCATCAAAGATTATAATTTATTACAAATTATTAATTAATTAATAAATTTGATCCAATAAATTATAATTGTTGATTGACGAAAATCAACGATTAGAATTCAAATGACACAAAATTATATTATTTAAAAATACAAAATTATCCCTAATATAAATATTCAAAAAGACGCTATTCAGTACTTCATCCGTTGTTTTTACTATAATGTTTTTAGAAAAGAATTTTTAACTTTTTTATTTGTTTTTTTAAACATTGAATAGATAATTATTTTTTAATATTAAAAAGTGAGAGAAAATCTAATAAAATAAAATGACATTTTAACTATTTTAATAAAAATTAAGTTAATCAAATAAAGTTATTTTTATTTATAACTTAAACTATTTAATTAATTTTTAATTCTCATGTACCTATCTTAAAAGATAAGTAAGGAAAAGACAACGTACTAAAGAAAAAAAAGAAGATAAATTATAAAGGTAAACGAATAATTGACAAAAAATGTCATATTTTTTTTTTTAATCCATTTTATAAAAATATTTTCTTTTCATTCAATATTTTAATTAAAAAATAAGCTCTTAATAACGAGTGAGGCTTTAGTAAAAAAATCTAATATCCTATATAATATACTTATAAAAAATATTAAATATATCTTTACTTTTAAAAATAATGAATACTTTTTATCTAAAATATTTTATTTCAAGTTCGTTAATGTGTCATCGTTGTTGTTACTTGTTAGGAATAAGTAAATAAAAAAATCTTTTAATATGTTTTTTCTGTCGGCTAAATAAATAGGTTTTAATATATGGGTTTGGTGTTTGTCATTTCAAATGACATAAGTTATGTCATTTTAGGAAAGAGATATACACAGAAAAATAGAAATCATGGGAGAGAGAAAGTGAGTGATTTTTTTAAATTTAAAATTCAAATTTTCTGTGTCTATATCTCTCTTAAAATGACATAACTTTCTATCATTTAAAATGACAAACATTTATTTCTTAATATATTGATTAGGCACATTATTAATAAGAATGAGAGTGCATGGAATCCCGAAGGCGAAGCGTGTGAACGAAGGCAGCGCAAGCGATGTGGTGAATAATGCACAGTCGGCAATTTATCACAATATACATATATACATATATGGAAAAACATTCCTCAATCAACTTGAGATAAGTTTATCTCTTGTCACTTCACAATTACGTTATTTTGTTTATTTATTTCCTTATATTAATTGATTCATATTTGATTGGTTATGATTCCATTTTTCTCTCTCTTCCTTTATCACCATTGATCCATCTTTGTACGGTTATGATTTAGTAGTCGGAGATAAAATTATCTCCGGCAGCTTGAGAAATGATATGCCTATATATATATATAGATATGAGAAAAACATTTCTCAAGCAGCTTGAGATAAGTTTATCTCCGGCTATCCCAAAATTACGTCGTTTTATTTATTTATTTCATTATATTAATTGATTTACCTTCGAATGATTATGATTCCCTTTCTCTCTCTTCCTTTATATCCATCTTTGTGCGGTTATGATTTAGTAGCCAGAGATAAGATTATCTCAAGCATCTTGAGAAACGATAAGCCTTATATATATATACGAAAAAAGTGTTTATCCTTTTAAATGATGGGTTTGTTTTTCTGATGTTACTTTAGATAGCTTTATCTAATGTTCATCACAACGACGTCGTTTTGGGACGGAAATCATGGTATTTTTGTAATTTTAATTTATTTCAGGATTATAATAGTCTTTATCACTCTAATTTTTTAATTTTTTAACTCCAAAACGACGTTGTTTCGATGAACATTAGATAAAGTTATCTAAAGTAACATCGGAAACTTTTTTCCCTTAAATGATACAACTTATATTATTTCACTCTTACAAAGAGGTGGGACCCACACTTTTAATTTTTTTTTTTAACTCCCTCTTCTTCTTTATCTATCTCTTTCTCTCTCTTAGAATGACACACATTTTTTCTTATATATATATATGTGTGTGGATCCCCTATTAAAATTTTATATAATTTGATCATATAAAATTTTTGTTTCTATTTTTTTTAATAAATAAATCTCAGTTATTCAATGCATGTGAATACAGAGATTGACGAAAATTTCACCATAAGCATCAACACAGCAGACACTCTTCCACCTTCTTCTCACTTCTCATCCATGTCACAACAACCTTAATTAACATGGAAAACAAACTTTGTAACGCCACGTGTTACCATTTTATTGGTTATATACTGTTGAAGCCTTTAAGCTGTTACCTTCTTAAGCCTCTCTGCTCCCTGGTTGTCTTTCCCCCATTCCTCTGACCCTTTCCTTTTCCATATTCTCAATCTTTTTCATCTCTGCCTCAGATCTGATCTTTGTATATTCCGCAGTCATGGCAGAGAAGGTACGAGGATGTTAATTCTTATCCGAATCAAATTTCTCTTTTTGATCTATCTTGATAAATATTTAAATTTTTGTGGTCATTGTTAATTTATTAAATTAAAATGTGATTTTCGATCTTGGCTGGTGCTAGTTTCCATCTGATTGAATTTCCAGATATGCGTGCCATTCTTCTATTCTATGTTCACTTTGATATGTACAATCTTGTAGTTTTGATGGATCCTTCTGTTGATCACGTTAATTCAGGTGACCATAATGAAGCTCAAAGTTGATCTTGAGTGCGAGAAATGCTACAAGAAAGTCAAGAAGGTTCTCTGCAAATTCCCTCGTGAGTATCTGATCACTTTCTTAATCAGTTTTATTGCTCTGCTAGCTATAGACTATAGTAAGAGTAAATGAAAACAAAAAAAATATCAAATTGAGTTCATTTTTTGGTGTTGAACTTCTTTTTATGAACAAGAGAAATTCGAGACCAGGAGTACGACTACAAGAATAACATCGTGACAATCAAAGTGGTATGCTGTAACCCTGAGAAGTTAAGGGACAAGCTTTGCTGCAAAGGTTGTGGTTCTATCAAGAGCATTGAAATTGTGGAACCTCCCAAGCCCGAGAAGCCCAAGGAACCAGAGAAGCCTAAGGAGCCCGAGAAGCCCAAGGAACCAGAGAAGCCTAAGCAGCCCGAGAAACCAAAGGAACCAGAGAAGCCGAAAGAGCCTGAGAAGCCCAAAGAACCCGAGAAGCCTAAAGAGCCTGAGAAGCCCAAAGAACCCGAGAAGCCTAAAGAACCAGAGAAGCCAAAGGAGCCTGAGAAACCTAAGGAACCTGAGAAGTCGCCTCCGATTGGGGTATGCTGTGGGCCATGCTATGAAGGTAGGCCTGGTGGGCCATGTTTTCATGGTTACGGTGAGCCACTGCCATGTTATGGAAGACCTCCTAAAGTACCACTACCGCCGGTTCCTGTTCCGATTGGGGTATGCTGTGGGCCATGTTCTGAAGGTAGGCCCGGTGGGCCATGCTTTCATGGTTACGGTGAGCCACTGCCATGTTATGGAAGACCTGTTTATGATAGTTATGGTGGTGGCGGCAGACCTTATTACGTGAGCCGTTGTGATGAATATTTCTGTGAAGAAAACCCATCTGCCTGCACAATTATGTGACATCTCTCTCTCATTCAAAGCCAAGTTCTACACTCCATCCATTGGATCTGGCCATTCTTGCAACTGGACTTTTATTATTATTGGTTATCCCAGGATTAAATAATCTTTGTTTTTGTTATTACAAATTAATAACGGTGTTTCGGGGGGAATGAAAATGATACGAGGAGCTTAAGAAAGAATAAAAGGCGTGTTATATTATTGTAATACTTTCATAAATTAGTGAAAGTTTCTTTCTTTACGTACAATTTAATTACTATAAATCTAGCTAATTTGCATGATGGATTTGCTTCTAAGTAAGGGTGAAAATTGATTTGCTCTGAAAGGAACTGCTTTGGTGGGTAGTGGTGCTTTGAAATGCTGGGCAGCTAAGCCCCTCACAACGTGTCCTCTTTGTATTGCACTTTTTGCGTTGTTGAAAATTAAATAAAAACCACTAATTAATACTTTTTTAATCAGGTCAGTGTCATGATAGGGATTTCCAATTTTTGTTTCTACAAAGTTCCTTTCTATGATACTCGTGGTGTAGAAAGTTTTCTCTCTAGTAAATCTGCTTAATGAATGATGATGCTCGTTTTCCCAATGTTTGTCATGAATATCAAAAAGGAATAAGGTGGATAGATAGATGATACTAATTCATTTGTATTGACATTACAAATTTATTTTGCCTTGTATGTTTTGTTTTTTTGCAGTGGGAATTTTCTGTTAGGAAGCTGACAACTAAATGACCTTATCGCATTTTTTGTCCTTTAGACAAATTGGAATAGGCTCTGCCGGCTCACGCTTTAGTTGTTATTGATCAATGACCTCAGTAGACAATGACAAGTTGACAACCATGATTCTCTTCTTTCCTCACCAGCAGGCAGCAGCTTAGCTTTTTCCCACCTAATTAGATCCATAAACCCACACAGAATCTGAAAGAAAACGGGGGCAACTTTATTATACTAATTATCTTTTCAAACCAAAAATTAAACTTCATTGGAACTGCATGGAATCAAGCATAAGAGAAAGGGGGTAAAATGAACACATTCGATCGTATACAGACAGAAGTTGCAATCGGGCATAATCAGGAGTGATCCAACCGACAATCACTTTAATTTTGCCTCTTCAATCAGAGATGAGGAAAAGTAAACAAGAAGAAAGTGTTTCTTATGGCAGAAGTGAAAGGGACTTGACAATCTCCATCCAGAGACCAAAGTTGCTTTCATACGAAGATAACGTTTAGTTTATCCCGTATAATTTAATGCTATTCAATCAACACTCTTCTTAGCTACCATAATTCATATAATTTCCTTTCCCTATTCTCTTTCTTAATTATAGTGCCAACTTTCATCTTTTCAAGCAATATGGTTATATATATATTAGAATATGTTCATATACGGATATACCTCAATTTGAACCTCAAAGCCTCATTTTTTTATTTTTTTATTTTATTTTGAATACAACCTCATTTCAAACTAACAACAAATATTTTACGTTCGTAATCCATTGAAAGTAAAAGGAAAGAAAATAACTTTCGTTCAAAGTAGTCTTTTAACTTTTTAAGTGTGGAAGCCCTTTCATTTTTCTCCCTTTCGAAAGACTGATAAAAGATAGCCTTTTGTCAAAGCCAAAAAGCAAAGAAGGATTACAACTTTTTTAATAGGTACGGTTTATTACATGCGTCATGTTTAATATTATGGGATCGGATCTTATGGGTTTGTTTGGGAGTTTGGGAAAGAAGTGAGGAAAGGGAATTCAATGGACATGGAAAGAAAAAATGAAAAGTATTATTTTCCTTTTGTTTTGGGAGTTAAAAATATGAGAACAGATAAAAATTATGAGTAAATAAGATGTTTTTACAATTTTACCTTTTCTTACAAAATAAATATAATTATGGGGAATGCAGGAGTGCTGCTTGTGGAGGAATTATAAGAGATAAAAATAGTTATTGGATAGAAGGGTTTGCTTACTATATTGGCCATTGTTCAGCTTTTGTTGTAGAATTATCGGGTGTCCTCAAAGGTCTTGGATTTGCTTGGGTTAGAGGTTGGAGACGCTGCATCCTAGAAAGTGATTCAAGTTCAGTTATCACTTTGCTCTCCAGCAGTGGAAGAGCATCTCGAGAGTCTCGCTTAGTGACTCGAATTCGAGCATGGTTACAAAAGAATTGGGAAGTGCACCTGGTTCATGTTTTTAGAGAAGGAAATAGTTGTGCAGATTGGCTTTCTAAATATCCTTTAGACTATCAGTTGAAAATAATTTTTGTGTTTTTTCAAACCCTCCCCCTCGTATTTGGCCTTTGTATTGGGCTGATTTGTCTTTATCTTATAATTTCAGAACGATATTATTGAATTGATCTCTTTGGGGTGTTGTTGTTAACCCCTTAGATTACCCAAAAAAAAAAATTATAATTATGGAGAAGGTTATACTTACAATCTATTTTCGTTTACAATCTCTTACAAACATATCTTAACCGTTGATTTCCGCCAATCAACGATTATCATTTATTACGAATTAATAATTAATTAATAAATTTAATTTGTGAAAATCTTAACAGTTGATTGACGAAAATCAACGGTTAAAATATGGTTGTAAGAGGTTGTAAACAAAAATAAGTTGTAAGTATAACTTTTCCCTATAGTTATTATATGGAAACAAAATATTTGTCCTTTTAAATGGTATAATTTGTGTCATTTTACTCTCACAAAGAGGTGGTATCCACACCTTTATTATTTTTTTTACTCTCTCTTCCATGATTTATCTTTCTCCCACTTAAAATGATATAATTTTAAATCCTTTAAAATGACGCACACTTTTTCCTTATTATATTTTACAAATTAAATTAAATTTAAAGTTTATAAAAAAATTATTTATGTAATTTTCACATTTAAAAAATAATTCTTCCTCTAAAAAAATATTTTCTCTCTCTAAAATAGTCTATTTTACATTAGATTAAATATCCTTTTTAGTCCTCAGCAAATTTCTCGATGCCCGTTTTAGTCCCTAACAAATAAAAAGGCCCATTGTGGTCCATAAGAAATTCAAAATGAACTCATTTAGTTGAAATCGTGGCCCCTCACAAATTCAAAAAAGACCCATATTAGTCCCTAAAATGACTAAAATGGGTTTATTTTGAATATCTTAGGAACTACGATGGGCCTTTTTATTTTCTAGGGACTAAAGCGAGCATCGTAAAATTTGCTGAGGACCAAAAATGATATTTACTCTTTTACATTATAACTAAGTTAAAATTATTAAAAAAAATTAAATCACATATCTAAAAATAAATCATTTATCTCAAAATAATGCAATTGGAAACAACATAAAAATATTTCATCAAAACATTTAAGAAAGAGAGAAAATAAAAAAGTTGAGAAAAAGAGTAAGGACATATAAATAATTTACTGTATTTTTTCTCTCTGACCCCAAATTAGGAGAATTCCGATCTTAAGGGTGAGAATAATATTTGAAGGTTTTATAAAATTTTTCTATTCTCTATGATTTAAAACTCACATTACAATATGAAGACGTAACTAAAATCTTCTTATTTCTTTTCATTTCTTTTTAAAATTAACTCCCAGACACACTCTATAACTGTTTTTTTATTATTGCTGTACTTATTTCTTTTTAATACGTTAAATGACACCTCCTCCCAGTTATTGGTTGAGAGATTGAGATAGAAATAAATAAAGTAAATATGAAAAAAGGAGGCATAAGTATCATGTCCCCAATAATATTTAGAAGATCTTCACCCTAAAAAAATTAAAATTGTAATGCTACATAAATTATTTTAATATATATTCTATAACTTTTATTCAAATAATTTTTTTTACTTACACGTGCAGATCGGATCATGAACGAAAGCATGATAGAAACTCAAATCTTTATAGTTAATTGAATATTTTTTTTACTCGCTCACGTATTCGAGATCTTCTGCTCTAAAATTATAAAGTAAAATATTTTTTGGATCTTGATTTAATAATTTAGAAATAAAAGTTGACTCGTGATTTCTTTAAAATTCAAAATAAACTCATATTAATCCTTAAAAACTAATATGAATATTTTTTAAATTTAAGAGAGATCACAATTTCGACTAACTGAAATTATTTTGAATTTCAGAAAGATAATAAATCAACTTTTTTCCCTAAAGAGATTAAAATGAGCCTCTTGTCGAGGACCAAAAAAAATTCTTTACTCAATATTAAATTTATCTTCAAATAATCCCTTTTTTTTTCGTATATTGACTAATTGAATTGAGCGTATAATAAATCATATTTATTTAAGAATTTCTCGTTCCATTGTTAACGGAAATAGCAAGTACAATGAAGCGAGGAATGCTGTACAGCGTGGGTCATGTGGCTAAGGAAAATGCATCACTTAATTAATTAAGAGCCGGTTTGATGATTTTTTAGTTAAAACTTACTTATCAGGAAAATTGTTTATCATTTTTTTTGGGTACATAAATATTTATCATTTTAAAGTACACAATCTAATATTTTTTATTTAAATTTTAAAAAAAATTACCTACTTTCTCTTCAATAATTTTTATTATTTGTGTTTTTCTCTCACTTAAAATAACATAGCTTTATGTTTTAATGGCAAACATTAAACCCTAAAAATTAAAGGAAAAAAATTTAAAATATAAAGTTAAAAATTGTTGGATAATTATATAAATTTTTTAATTTTTAAAGTCACTTTAAAATTTAAAATAAAATCAAATTACTTGGTAAAATAATTTTTTTATAAGCTGTTTTCCTAATTAAATTTATTATAGAAGGGTATTTAAAGCTTATATTATTTAAATAAACACAAATATGGTGAAAAAAATAAAATAATTTTTTTTTAAAGATGAAGAATTTAATGAAAAAATTGATCCAACAATAAATATTTTATTATTATTAAAAGGAGCTTCATCCCAGAAGATATATTTAAATTTTTTTGGATGTATCAAATCACAATAACAAACATGACTCTATCCATTAAAATAAATACATAACTGAAAAATAAATACGAGTGTTTTGCATAGAGGCAAGGATAGAAAAAGACTCCCTAGTTAAGATACAACACAGGTATAGAGAAGAAAATTATTGTGCAAATTAGCTCTCAAACCTTCCCTTGATCAATTCGAATCCAGCATATTATTGCTCTTTCGTGGCCCCTTCCCCTGGCATAAATCTTTTGTATTTAGCTAATATAGGTGATTTTGGTAGAACTTATTGTATTGCTTCCTCTTAGCCTGGTTTGGAGTTTTAACCCCATGCAGGATACAAAAAAATAATAAAAAAATACGAGTGTTTCGAAAAAATTGAATCCATCTAAAAATAAGTTTCCCCTATATGTTAATATTTTTTTTATTCATTATAAAAAAAATTCTTTTTATGATAATAACTTCTATAAAAATATATTTGACTATTTTTTTATATAAAAAAAAACTTAAAACCACCAAATAGACATAGATACTAAGCGTGTGACAACTATTCTGTTCCCTCGCACTGTTTATGAAAAGAAATAATTCTTTTCTATTTTTCTGTCTGGGAACAGTTTTTGAGAAAAAATTTGTTTGATAACATGTTCTATTTTTATTCCGATAATGAGAATTGTGTTTGATAACACACTAAAAAATATAATAAAAAATAATTTTTATTAAGCAAAATTTTTTTTCGGATCATCACTTTCCTTTTCATATGCTATGGTGGTGGTGGCGGCAGCGAGTGTGGTGGTAATGGTGGCAGTGATGGTGATAGTGGTAGTGACAATAATGGATGTGACTACGGTAGCAGTGGTGATGGTGGTGACGGTAGTGGCTGCGATAATGGTGGAGGTGGTTGGCGACGACAGTGACTGCGACGATAGTGGTGAAAGTTGGTGACAATAGTGGTGATGAAGGCAGTGATTGTGATGTCAGTGATGGGTGGCAACTAGAGGTGGCAAAGTGGGCGGTCCGCCCCACCCTGCCAAAAAATGAGTCAGCCCGCCCCGCCCCACTTTTGAAAGTGGGCTGAAAAACTCAGCCCGTCCCGCCCCGCCCCGTTTGGAGGGTTGGCCCGCCAGCCCGAGCCTATTTTACACTGACCTGCCTCGGCCCGCCTATACCCGCCATCAACCCGTCAAAAAATAAGCCCGCCCCGCCCTGCCTCGCTTTTGAGATGAGTTGAAAAACTCAGCCCGCCCTGCCCCGTTTGGCGGGTTGGCCCGCCGAGCCGAACCCGTTTTACCGGCTCTAGTAGCAACTGTGACGTAGTGATAGTAGTGGTGGTGGTGACGGTGACATGATGGTAGTGTTGGTGGCGATGGTGGCTATGGGTGGAGGTGGTGGTGACAACGACACTTGTGGTATGACGACGACGACGATGATGGTAGCTGTGGTCCTGTCAGGATCATGGTGGTGGTGATGATGATAGTAGTGGTGGAGAGTGATTGAGAGAGATAAATGTTTCTCATTTTGTACCGGAACAAAAAAAACAAAAAATTTGTGATTCTCGTTCCTGTTCCCTAGCATAAAAATTAAATGATTCATTATGAGAACAAAAAAATAAATCAATTTTACTAACCAAGTTTTTTTTTATCTATTTATATTATCGAGAACAAAAATTAAAAAGAACTGATTTCGAGAAGATTATCGTGCACACCCTAAGTATAAAGATATAAGGAGATTTTTTTTTTGACATGATTCAATTAAAATATGTTAAAATAATAATTTCTTTTTTGGTAATCTAAAATAATAATTTTTGAATATGTCAAAGTAACGAGGATAATTTATATTTCTCAGAAGTCATAAGAATACGAACTTATTTTGACAATTTTATTTATTTATTCATTTATTTTTTAAAAAACTTAGCTGACACGGGACACGGGACACGACACGACATGACACGCCAACACGTTAATTCTAAAAAATGACATATTTTGACACGTTGAGACACGTTTTGATATTAAATAATATTTTTAATATATATAATAATATAATTTATATTTAATAGATAATTAGTCCATAATAAGTCATATAACCAATCAAATATTCAAATTTCATAACATAAATATAAACAAAATTAATTTTTTGTACCTTGTTAATTTTTTTATGTCAAATTTCATAACAGTAAAAAATTGATTTATAAATGATTTTTTTTTATTTTTAGTTAATAAAATAAAATTAAGACTAAAAAAAAAAACGTGTCCATATGTCGAAAAAAAATTGACTGCGTGTCCAAAAAATATGTCAGAGCATGTTCAAGAGTTGATCACGTGTCCCAAACACAATTTTAAAAAATCAACGAATCCGTGTGCTTTCCAGGTCATTGGAACTTTTTTTTTTTTTTTTTTTTTTGGAAATACAATGAAAACTAAAGCAACATTAAAAAAAGCCCTATACTGGGCACAATCTTGGGAGACTAACTCCCCTCAAGTCATTACGAAGGTCATTGGAACCTTGTAAGTGGACCCTAAGCATAATCATTTTAAAATTATTTGCAAGTTACTCTCCCACCGACAATTGTCACCTTAATGGATAATACGTTAATCTAAATTTTTAAGTTTCATTAACGCTACTAATCCTTCGTTAATAAATATATTAATTACAATGCTTTTACTTTAATTTCCAAATTTTAATTCAACCAATTTTTTTTTTCTTTTGTCACTTTCTCCCGTCAGCACCACGCGTGCATTGCAAGTTCCATTATTTTCTTCTTATGTTTGATCAATGTTTAACTAGATGGTTTGCAATTTTCCCAAAAATTGCAAGTTCAAACATAATATAGATTGTATTTGCAATAAAATATTTTGAGGATTATTATAAATATTTTATTTTAATTTTTAAAATAAAACTGATTTGATCTTAAATTCATTTTAATTTTATAACTGTGCAGCCGTAAAAAATTTCATTAATTTAGTTTAAATTTTGATTAATTTATTATAATTTGTTTTAATTTTTTGAATCATCATTTTTAACTTTGTTAGTATACAGTTGAAGAATAATTTAGTATTTTAGAGACATGGGATTTTTTTTTGTTGGTTAGAGAAAAGGGGATTTTCGTTCAAATAATCCCATTTTCATGATGTTTGATTTTATAAAAAAAAAATTGAGAGAGAGAGAAAAAGAAAAAATAAGAAAAATGGAAAAAATAATAGAGACAAATTAATGAGAAATACAATATAAAATATCATTTACAGTAATTACTTAATTACCTTTTATTTATTTGTTTAGTAGTTTACTTAATTACCTTTTAGATTGAGCAAGTCATACAATACAAAACTTTTACTCTGTAAAATGGATTTTCTTATTTTATTTATTTATTTGTAAAGAATACATTCTTCATATCCCGAAAAAAGAATACTCTAATCCCGAAAATTAAGCCTTGCGTTAAGCAAGTTTGTTGACCTAAAAGTTAGAACCATTTGCAGAGGCCAAATACACACATGAACAAATCTAGCTACAAGCACCTAACAAAAAATTTGTTGACTACATTGCTAATGAGAGCTTCTAATACTTCCTTATCAGCGACAAAGAAGAGTGAAAGGAATCTCCTATACTTGGGCTGGGCCTAAACACTTTGCTTTGGAACAAGTTTAAGTCCATTCTACTACAGAAGGTGAAGTTAAAGAGGGGTGTTCAAGTGTATTGAATTTACCTTCGGATGTAACAACGTTCGGTTTTGTTTAACCAATCCAATCTAAGAGGGGTGAATGTCTTTCAAATTCACTTGTTATTGCCAGGGACGGAAAACTAAACGGACCATTCTAAAAATATTCATTCAATCAAGAGCTCAAGTCTTGATATCATTAGAAAACCACCCTATTTAAATTATAACTTGTCCTTAAATCCAAATTTCCTTTATTAATATCCAAGAAAACCAACCATGTTAGATATTTTATTACTGTTCCAAACAGGTAAATTGGGCCCAATACCCGAGTCCCATTTTTGAGACTCCCTCCATGAATATTCACTTACGTTATTCGCCTTATCAATCTAGAATATATTTTATTATAATTGTAGAATTTTCATCCTCATATACAAATCTGACCTATTTACATTGTTTACCCCAATCTTATTCTGACTTGACGTCAGGGTATTTGTATGCAGAAAAATAATTTTATAATGAAAAATAAGAGAGAGAGAGAGAGATTAAGATCTTAAATTAGATAGAAGTGTGATATTTTTTTATTATCAAATGAAATTTTATGTTAATTAATTATATATCTTAATTTTTTTATTAAGAAGACAATTATAAAATCCCTAATTTTTTATTTATTAAATAAAATTTCATGTTAACCAGACCAGTCCATACTTTATTAATAAGATCTATGTAACGTCAGTAATAACCTAACCTAGTTTCGTGCACCCTACAATTTAAAAAACTGAATGAGTGAAAGAGTGAGAAATGTGTTATTTATTTCTGAATTAGATATTTATGATTGTCTCCGTTGCGCGATAAGGCTGTGAGAGACACACGCATCGCATCGCAGAGCAGAGTCAGAGTGTAGTGTGAAACTGTGGAAAATGGCTTACAATCTTTGCTCTTCACCTTCTTCTCTCTTCCATGATCCACCCTTCATCTCTTGTTCTTCTTCTCGCAAGTTCCTACTCCGAAACTTTCCTTCTTCCTTTCAACCCTCTGCTTCCCTCACCTCCCAATCCAAAACTTCTCTCCACGTCTCTTTACAGGAACCTATTCCGGAACAACTAGCACCGGACGTTAACTCCGAAGAAGACGCAAACTTTGAGGACCCAGTTGGAAAGTCTTCGTCTTCCTCGAAAAGTTACATCTGGGTCAATCCTAGAAGCCCCAAAGCCAAACAACTTCTGAAGAAATCTTATGATTCCAGGTACAATTCTCTTGTCAAACTTGCTCAGTCTTTGGATTCATGCAATCCCACTGAGCAGGATGTCTCTGAAGTTTTCGTGGGCTCAGGGCATAGGTTTTTAGAGCAAGACGTTGTAGTTGTTATCAATAACATGATGAATTCCGAAACTGCACCTCTTGTTCATAAATACTTTAAGGGGAAGATTAGAGTAACTAGGGAGGTGATTCTTTACAATGTCACCCTTAAGGTGTTTAGGAAGTGTAGGGATCTGGATGGAGCGGAGAAGCTGTTTGATGAAATGCTTGAGAGTGGAGTGAAGCCTGATAATGTTACATTTTCAACTATAATTAGCTGTGCTAGGATGTGTTCTTTGCCAAATAAGGCTGTGGAGTGGTTTGAAAAGATGCCTGCCTTCGGGTGTGTACCTGATGATGTTACATACTCGGCTATGATTGATGCTTATGGACGGACTGGTAATATTGATATGGCTTTGAAATTGTATGATCGTGCCAGAACGGAGAAATGGCGCATTGATACTGTAACGTTCTCAACATTGATTAGAATGTATGGGATGGCAGAAAATTATGATGGATGCTTAAATGTCTACGAAGAAATGAAGGTTCTGGATGTTAAACCTAACATGGTTATTTATAAAACTCTGTTGGATGCTATGGGAAGAGCTAAGAGGCCCTGGCAGGCCAAGACTATTTATAAAGAGATGACAAATAATGGATTTTCGCCCAACTTTGCAACTTATGCAGCTCTTTTACGAGCCTATGGTAGAGCACGATACAGTGAAGATGCTCTCATTGTTTATAAGGAAATGAAGGAAAAGGGAATGTTTTTGAATACGAATCTTTATAATACCATTTTATCTATGTGTGCTGATGTTGGATACACAGACGAAGCATTTAAAATTTTTGAAGACATGAGAAGTTCTGCAACTTGCAGTCCTGACAGTTGGACATTCTCGTCCTTGATTACCATATATTCCTGCAGTGGAAACGTTTCAGAGGCTGAAAGAATGTTGAATGAAATGATTGAATCTGGATTCGAGCCTACTATTTTTGTTCTGACATCTCTTGTCCAGTGCTATGGAAAAGCCAAGCGTACTGATGACGTTGTGAAGACATTTAATCAACTCTTGGATTTGGGCATCATTCCAGATGGTCGTTTCTGCGGTTGTCTTCTGAATGTTATGACCCAAACACCAAAAGAAGAACTTGGTAAGCTAACAGATTGTGTGGAGAAGGCCAATCCGAAGCTTGGGTCTGTCGTAAGATATTTGGTGGAAGGGCTGGAGGGTGATGGAGAGTTCAGAAAAGAAGCAGCGGAACTCTTTAATTCAATTAATGGTGAAGTAAAGAAGGCCTTTTGCAATTCTCTGATTGATCTTTGTGTAAACACAAATTTGATGGACAGAGCAGGTGAGCTTCTGGACTTGGGGTTGACCCTTGAGATATATACAGATGTACAGTCGAGGTCTCAAACTCAGTGGTCTTTGCATGTAAAGAGTCTCTCACTTGGAGCTGGGCTAACTGCATTACATGTTTGGATAAATGACTTGTCTAAGGCTTTGGAATCTGGAGAGGACCTTCCACCACTGCTTGGAATTAATACTGGTCATGGGAAACACAAGTATTCGGACAAAGGTTTGGCCAGTATATTTGAATCACATTTGAAGGAACTCAATGCTCCATTCCACGAGGCTCCTGATAAGGCTGGCTGGTTTTTGACTACACAGGAAGCACTCAAGTCATGGCTGGAGTCTAGGGTTTCTTCTGAATTAGTTGCTGCATAATTTCTGAAATCCATTATTTTAGGTGTTCCAACTTTCACCGTTGATAATGTTTCAGGGAATGATGATGTGCCTTGTAGTTTTAATACATTTTCCTTTGTCTTTTGAGGAAAATTTTGTATTAAATTCAGAAATAATAATTGTTTTATTTTTTGATGTCGTATAGAGTAAATGAAGCCCTGATACTGGTATATATTGTCTTAGATTGGTGGTTATGGTTCTTTGCAGTTGAGAGATCTAGGAAATTATAAATTTCTTCCGAATAATATATTACGATGATGGTTATACTTATAATTTATTTTCGTTTACAACTTCTTACAACCATATATTAACCGTTGATTTTCGTCAATCAACGGTTATTATTTATTGTGAATTAATAATTAATTAATGAGTTTAATTTGAAAAAATAATAACCGTTGATTGATGGAAATCAACTGTGTTAATATATGATTATAAGAGGTTGTAAACAAAAATAGTTTGTAAGTATAACTTTACTCATATATATTATATGCAAAAACTCTTGCCAAAAATTCCTTTTTTATGTAAGATGCAAACCACGTCGGGCGTCAAAAAATGTATGTGCGTAGGAGAGCAACCCAACAATACACTAGTACGGTTTTCTATTATAGACACAGTGCTAGTGATTTTTCTGTTGGTTGAGGTTGAGGTTGACCTTATTTCGATTAATTATGTGGGCAGGGGGATTGACCTTGATTAAAATTTGTATTCTTTGAGGAAGATCAGTAACATTGAAATGGTAGGGCTTATGGAGTGCATACCATGACATTGGGAGCTCAAATCCTCCTTGCACTTGGAGCGCATAGCCACATGGCCTTGACATTGTTTTCTTTGTATTACATGGATTTAATGTGTAATTTTAATTTTAAGGATAGAAGGTTATGTTCATTTAATAATTATAATTATGTATTTTAAAGAATATATAATTATAATATTAAAGTTATATTTTTTTTCAGTAGATAATTTTTGAAAAGAGAAAACATATAATTTTAATATTATAACTAGAGTTCATTTTTTCTACAGTCAATGTAGATAACTTATATACACTGAGCCCAAAACGACGTCGTTTTGAGGAAGAAATCAAGGTATTTTTATAATTACAATTTATTTCAGGGTTATAATAGTTAAAAACATTTGCCGAATCTACATAGGCCGAAGCCGGAGACTTGAACACCAGATAGGCATTCTTTTTTCATTATAATTTTTTAGTTTTTAAATCCAAAACGACATCGTTTTGAGAGTGAATGTAGATAACTTATCTACATTCACTTTAGAAACATTAAATCCTTATAACTATGGGAAAAATATTTCTTCAGTCACCGGAGATAAAGTTATCTCCAGTGAGCTCAAAACAACGTCGTTTTAAGGGAGTTATAAGATTAAAAAATTATAATGATAAAGACTAATATAACCCTACAATATATTATAATTACAAAAATACCTTGATTTCCGCCCCAAAACAACGTCGTTTTGGGCTCACTGGACATAACTTATCTCTATTGACTAGAGAAATCCTTTACCGTATAACTATATACTCCATAAAATATATAATTATAACTACTAAAAGAATTCAGTTACAATCTTTTTTCCCTAAAAATAATTACGAAATGTTAGATTGAAGGGGAAAAAATTACTTAGAGCATATCATTTTTTATTTTTCAAATTTTTTAAGGAGAAGGTTATACTTATAACTTTTTTTTTACAACCTCTTACAATCATATCTTAATACCGTTCGTCAATCAACAATTATCATTTATTGTGAATTAATTATTAATTAATGAGCTTAATTTGTAAAAATTATAACCGTTGATTGACGGAAATCAACGGTGTTAAAATACGATGGTAAGAAGTTGTAAAAAAAAAAGAGTTGGATAACCTTTCTCATTTTTTAATTATATTATCCTTTTCATTATTCATTCATTAGGCATTGAGCTTAGAAGTGAATCCCCTCTCTTTCCATATTCAAAGACACCCTAAAATGCTCTCAAAGTTCCGAATCCTGAACCGATTCACGCATCGTCTGCATCCAAGAATCACCACCTTCAATGGTTCGCATCGCTTCATTTACTGCAACCCACTTTGCACATTGGTAAAGTCGCAAACAACCCCCGAATCACCTGAACTTCCTGATTGGGTCAAGAAGGTTCTCTGCAAATTCCCTCGTGAGTATCTGATCACTTTCTTAATCAGTTTTATTGCTCTGCTAGCTATAGACTATAGTAAGAGTAAATGAAAAAAAAGATATCAAATTGAGTTCATTTTTTGGTGTTGAACTTTTTTTTATGAACAAGAGAAATTCGAGGCCAGGAGTACGACTACAAGAATAACATCGTGACCATCAAAGTGGTATGTGTTGGAATTTATACATAAATTGTATATACATTCTATTGGTTATGAATAAGAAGTGGGTCAAGGAAGAAAGGAAAAAAGGGAAGTTGAAGAGGTGTGTGGGTTTAAGAAGTTCCACGTTGGACAAATAGTAAGAGGGGAGAGAGTTTATAAGCTTCCACCTCACACTCCTAAATTGGCCTTTGGGTCACTACACATTTTGTAGAGGGGGAGGAGCTAGGTGGGCTTAGGTCCGGCCCGCACGCACCGTCGTCCGTCCGGCTGGTGCGGCGGATCGTACATGTTTGTTAAATAAATTTTTTTTATTAAATAATTTTTTAATTTTTTGTCCAAAATACTCCTGTGACTATCCGTTGCTTCCCTCCAATTTTTCAAACTCAAACGTTTCTACCTGCTGATTTTTTGAACGTTTTGAACCAAATCGGTTCTTACCTTTCGTGAACCGGTCACCGGTTGTATCTGTTCACCGAATTGGTCACCGATCGTTCCCGTTCGCAGTCATCAGTCACGGCGGTTCGTCGCCGGCGGCGGTTCATCGTAACCGGTCAGTATCTATAAATAGACCCTGACCTCCCAGAAAAATTGTCCAGTTTTCTGCACTGTTACTTTGCTGGAATTTTTTCTTCTTCCGGTTTGCATCCTCTTTTCTGTTTTCCAGTGTACTTTCCTCTGACAATTTGTTGTGTTCGTTTGGGCTGTCGACCGGTAGTGCCACCATTTCTCAGACGAAATCCGTTCTATCCTGGGAGACACTTGTCCATCAACCTTTGGCATCAGTGCAGGGACAAATTGTTTTAAGGATACACATTCTGTGGGCTCAGATTTTTTTCCATTACTCTGCATACATTCATCTGTCTGTTCCATTATACTGACATCAAGTAAGTCTGGTCTAATTTCTATAATTGCATTGTGTTTGATAATTTTGATCATTAATCTCTTTTGTTCTACACATGGATTCAAACCTTTTAGTGATATCACCCACTGTCTACTGTAACCCTGAGAAGTTAAGGGACAAGCTTTGCTGCAAAGGTTGTGGTTCTATCAAGAGCAATGAAATTGTGGAACCTTCGAAGCCCAAGGAACCAGAGAAGCCTAAGGAGCCCGAAAAGCCCGAGCAACCAGAGAAGCCTAAGGAGCCCGAAAAGCCTGAGCAACCAGAGAAGCCTAAGGAGCCCGAGAAACCAAAGGAACCAGAGAAGCCTAAAGAGCCTGAGAAGCCCAAAGAACCCGGGAAGCCTAAAGAACCAGAGAAGCCAAAGGAGCCTGAGAAAACCTGAGAAGCCGAAGCCTCAACCACCTCCTCAGGTTCCCGTGTGTCCACGGCCACCAGAACCACTACCGCCGGTGGTTGTTCCGATTGGGGTATGCTGTGGGTCATGCTATGAAGGTAGGCCTGGTGGGCCATGCTTTCATGGTTACGGTGAGCCACTGCCATGTTATGGAAGACCTGTTTATGATAGTTATGGTGGTGGCAGACCTTGTTACGTGAGCCGTTGTGATGAATATTTCTGTGAAGAAAACCCATCTGCCTGCACAATTATGTGATATCTCTCTCTCATTCAAAGCCAAGCTCTACACTCCATCCATTGGATCTGGCCATTCTTGCAACTGGACTTTTATTATTGGTTATCCCAGGATTAAATAATCTTTGTTTTTGTTATTACAAATTAATAACGGTGTTTCGGGGGGAATGAAAATGATACGAGGAGCTTAAGAAAGAATAAAAGGCGTGTTATATTATTGTAATACTTTCATAAATTAGTGAAAGTTTCTTTCTTTACGTACAATTTAATTACTATAAATCTAGCTAATTTGCATGATGGATTTGCTTCTAAGTAAGGGTGAAAATTGATTTGCTCTGAAAGGAACTGCTTTGGTGGGTAGTGGTGCTTAGAAATGCTGGGCAGCGAAGCCCTCACAACGTGTCCTCTTTGTATTGCACTTTTTGCATTGTTGAAAAAAAAAAAAAAAAACCCACTAATTGATACTTTTTTAATCAGGTCAGTGTCATGATAGGGATTTCCAATTTTGTTTCTACAAAGTTCCTTTCTATGATACTCGTGGTGTAGAAAGTTTTCTCTCTAGTAAATCTGCTTAATGAATGATGATGCTCGTTTTCCCAATGTTTGTCATGAATATCAAAAAGGAATAAGGTGGATAGATAGATACTAATTCATTTGTATTTACATTACAAATTTATTTTGCCTGGTATGTTTTGTTTTTTTGCAGTGGGAATTTTCTGTTAGGAAGCTGACAACTAAATGACCTTATCGCATTTTTTGTCCGTTAGACAAATTGGAATAGGCTCTGCCGGCTCACGCTTTAGTTGTTATTGATCAATGACCTCAGTAGACAATGACAAATTGGAATTTCCTTTGTCTTTTGAGGAAAATTTTGTATTAAATTCACAAATAATAATTGTTTTATTTTTTGATGTCGTGTATAGAGTAAATGAAGCCCTGATACTGGTATATATTGTCTTAGATTGGTGGTTATGGTTCTTTGCAGTTGAGAGATATAGGAAATTATAAATTTCTTCCGAATAATATATTATATGCAAAAAACTCTTGCCAAAGATTCCTTTTTTGTGTAAGACGCAAACGACATCCGGCGTCAAAAAATGTGCGTAGGAGAGCAACCCAACAATACACTAGTACTGTTTTCTATTATAGACACTGCTGGTGATTTTTCTGTTGGTTGAGGTTGAGGTTGACCTTATTTCGATTAATTATGTGGGCAGGAGGATTTACTTTGATTAAAATTTGTATTCTTTGAGGAAGATCAGTAACATTGAAATGGTAGGGCTTATGGAGTGCATAGCATGACATTGGGAGCTCAAATCCTCATTGCACTTGGAGCTCATAGCCGCATGGCCTTGACATTGTTTTCTTTGGCCTAGAGAAACTCATCAGTATATTTGTAAATAAGTCAATTAGAACGAAAGCAGTGTGATGCGTTGCATGTCAATTTTTCTCCAATCTAATTAAGCAAAACATCTGAGCCTTTAGTTCATTTGATCATGCATAGTGGGAAACTGTATGACTTTTCAGTCTCAACCAAAGAAGGAAATCAGAGGTTCTCTACAAGAAGAAGGAGAAGTAGAGTTCAACGACTCGGTGCTGGTCATAAAGACGAACTCTGTTTCTTGTAAAAGTTACATACTGGTGCGTAGAAGACTGCAGATTGGAGAGGTTTTCTATCTTGCAACCTGCCTGACACAATCTGTTGAGCCTTTAGTACCTTGTAAGACAACTGACAACAGAAAGGTGAAGACGAGGACAGTGAAGATTGTGGTGACTAAGGAACAATTACAATTGCTGCTAGCTGGAGCAGGGAATTTCCAAGCCAAAAAAAAGTAGAGTTGCCAGCTTCAGGGAAATTTCAGGGTTGCAAGGGTGCCAAAAATGGCTCCCTTTACCAAGTACTCATAGGTGCAGAAGAACTATTAAATGATAGGATATTTGCAATTTTAGGCTTTCCTAGCACAAGTGCAACTAGTTTATTTGTAGTTTTCGTAAATCTTCCTCAGTTTTATTTTATCAGGAATTTATTGATGTTTGCCTGTTGATTCTTGAAATGTAACAGCAGGGTGAAGAAAAGTGAAAAGAAAGGCTTCCCAATGTGTGTGTATTTGATACTTGTATTTTATTTTATTTTTATTCATTGAGGCTCAAGACTTCTGCATTCAGACTGTAGGTTTAGCGAATGCTGATTGTTGCTCATTCTTCAATGAACCAATGAGTAGGAGATACTTTGATATTGCAGGCAGATTTCATTCAGTCTTTTTCTCTATTACATTATAGTATAAAATCAGTTTCTGTTGAGTTGTTTTCAAATATATTCTTTAAAGGCTGTAAATAAAATAATGCAGGATTACCACTGATAGATGTTGTATTTCTCTGAAGTTATTTTTCTTTTCATTTTTTGTTGGTTAGAAAATTAATTCTTTTACTATACATAATGTGTACATATAATCCACTTGTTTTCCAAGTGTTCCTCATGTTTCATGTCCCCGCTGACGTATTTGACAAACTTGACTTGTATGTAAAACTCACAATCACAGAAAATATCATTTATCCAAATATAAAGACATTGAACACTAATTTTTGTACAGAATCAGATTCCCGAACTCCCTTTCCCCATTGGAAATTTATTTCAAGATACTACCTCACCAAATGTTCAGTATTTACAAAGAAAAATCACAAGTTGTCACTGATAAATAAAATACCTTCAACTATCTCCAATTAAAGAATCTTCAACGTTCTTTCATCGCCCTGCAGCAATTTTATAAAATTGTTACGGCATAGTCTTAAGACAAGCACAACAAACTTAACAGGTACCAGCCACACTGCAAAAAGAGAAGTTACAAGACCTTTTAGAGGAGTTTGTGCTTCTGTTTTTCTGTTTATCATCTGAGTTGGTTGATGAAGCCTCTTTCTCTCTAGCAGCTGCTTCTCTTTTCATTTTCTTCCACTCTACTTCCATGGCCTTTGTCAGTGCATCAACTTTCTTTATGAGCATCTGAAAAAGCAATATCTCATTTCTTTAGTTCAATGTGAGAAGGGATGAGGTGGGGTTGGGGCATGGCTGTTACTATTACCTTAATTTCTTCATCTTTAGCATGCAAACTACTGTCTTTAATTTCACAAGACTTCCTCAAATTGATGACCTCCTTTTGCAGCCTATCATATAGAAAACCTGAGACCACATCGTCACCGCCTGAATCATTTGGTTTCTTGCTTTCGGAGTCTCCATTCACATTATCAGTGGTTTTGATTTCTGTGGCTTCTCTTTCACCATTGCACCGGGTTACATTCATGGCTGTGTTCACCTGTATCTCATTTTCCTTTTCACCGCTATCAGCAACTTTACTTCTTGACGCCCACATCCCTTTCTTCAACACATTTTCTGCTGAACTATATTTCTTTTTAGTAGGGCTTCCCGTTTTTAAATTCCCAGCAACAATGTCTCTGCTGTTTTTTATATTTGGCTGCTGGAACAAAGAGCTTCCAACAGTAGATGCTCTTGGTTGTGATGTGGATCTCTTTTTCAGTCCACCACTGGTTGTTAGGAAACCTAAGATGTTAGACTTTTCTGATTTTGGAGACCCAGAAAACACATTCGAAATAGTTGGGTTGCTTGAGATATGCTTTAAGCCTTCGTCTAGTGTTTTTAGCCTCAGCTTCAGTTTATCCTGAAACAAAAACCAGATAACATTATTTATACGTTAAAAATTGACTTAGATGCTTACATGGTAGAAAAATAAGTCAGAAAAATACCTTTAATTGTGACTCTGCTCTAGCTGTTCTCTCTGATATAGCTAGCTTGTCTTTTAACCGTTGCATCTCTGCCTACATATGCAAGGACATACTTGATGATAGAAACTTCTTGCTCAATTTCATAAACAAGTTTTAGGAAAGAGAAGCTTTTTGAATTGTCTTTGTAAGCTATTCTCACTACAGTTAGGACATGAATATTAGCTTCCCTTGACTGGACTCCTCAGGGTTACACCCACTTCAACTGAAATTTATCCTTTTTAAATTTATTTATTTATAAATAGACTCTTTACAAATATGTAAGGGCAAGGTGGTTGCGTACAAAAATTGTCGTCACCCCTATCCTCTAGTTGGGACTTAAAAGGGAATGGTTTTATATTGTTATTGTAGTTATCAGGAACAAAACTATATGACTAACAGGAAAAATAGTATTTTGGGGTGTGAAAGCAGGAACATATGAACTCCAAAGATTTTCTGGGGAAGATATACCTGCATAATCCTTCTCTCTTCCAGCCATTGCTTGATAGGAATGACCTTATCATTTTCGTCCTTCCACTCATTAGCCACAACATTTGCAATTCTGTTGGCTGAAACCTTTACCCTTGCTAGCTCCCTCTCCAATGTCCTCTTCTCCTCCTGAAAAATTATGCAAAACCAAGTTACTACAAAGATCAACCAACAAGTCTTATAATCTCCAAAATATGTTCAGAATGGCAGTGGCAGTAAGATATGCCTACTTGCAATTCAGAAATCTGTCGCTGATAATCACGAACAGCATTAGCAGTGGCTCCGCTAGCTAAGATCACTTCCTCAAGTTCTTGAATGGTTTGGCTAAGCTTTTCAACTTCCAAAATCTTTTGGCGGTGGGTTTTCTCTAAGATTTTGTTCTCCTCCTGTTTATGGTAGTTGTAATTTGTAAATTGGCTGAACCACTTACACTTCACTATAGAAACCATATATGAAAAAGGAAACATAAAAGTTCATGCCTGGCAGATCTCAATCTGTCTCTTCAAATCAAAGTTCTGATTTTGAACTTCCTCAACTATTAGAGCCCTCTCTAGTGCACTTCTCAATATCTTCTCTGCTTCTAGCAATGCTGACTCTTTTGACTTTGTGATTCGTTCCAAAGCTTTCTTATCTTCTTGAAGTGTTGTAATCTATGAAGCCAAATTGGAGGTTAGTATTGTATTCACTTGCATTTTTTTATTTACTTGTGAATGCATCATTGTTGGAAATTGCACTATTTGTACCTACCTCATTCCTATACATTTTAATCTCGGCTTCAAGAGGAGCAATGACACTCTCAATTGGAACCAAATCTTCATCCTTTTGATTTGCATGTACCCTTCTAAGTGTTGCTTCTGCAGCATATTGTGCGGCCAACGCATCTTTCTTTTCATCTGTCAGTTTCTTGATTTCTAGATTCTGCATACGAATAGATTTCAAAAATATGTATTTTAGAGTCTAGCATTGTTGAACATGGTTCCAACTTCCAAGATATACTAGTACCAGATCAGTGCACCTTTTGTTTGAGATGATCCTCAGTAACTCTAAGTTTCTCGTCCAGTTTACTGACTCCATTTCTCAGCTGGAAATGGAGAAAGAGAATCACAGCTAATATTAGTACACAGAAATTTATATATTTTGTAGTTATAATACAACTAAATATCTTTTTTGTTGTTGTTGTAACTATACAACTAAATATCTAATTGCATATTTTTCTATTGTGACATGCATGGCATAATTGTTTAGAGATATAAAATCATTAATGTAACCTCACCCAACGCCTTAAGATTTTGGATTAAAATGGTTCTTTACATGGTATAAGAGATGGAGTGACCAAGTCGTCACGAGTTCGATTCTCACTGTCCCCACTCTGTGGTGGAATTAAATAAGTATAAGATAAACCAAAAATGGGCCTATGCAACATAATGTAGACAAAAAAATGGGCCTGTGCAATATTTAGGCTTCAAGTCCAAAGGGCTCTTGCATGAGGGGATTTGTTTGAGAGATAAAAAATAATTTATGTCGCCTCATCATCTTACGCCTTAAGATTTTGAGTTGAAATGATTCTTTACAATAATAGTCCCCTGATGCATCAAGCTGCCTATGATCTACCATGTGCATTATATTAGATAATTTGTTCTCCTTCCCGAATTCCATGCCAATGTTTTAGGGGTGTGTGTATCTTTGGAAGAATGTAAAAAACTACATTTAAAAGAAATACCTCTTCTATGGCCTTATCCTTCAGAGCTTCAGTTGCCCTTAAGGCTTTGATTTCACCCTGACAAGTCGCTAGTTCCTTAACCTTTTCTGCATTGATGATCAAATTGAGTTATAAGGCTTATAGACGAACCACTGATACGAAGATACTAGAAATGGACATTCTCGTACTGTATTCATCATATTATTCATTTTGGCGTGCAAAAAGAAAACTATTATTTCCTGATAATAACGAGAGATATAGGTAATCAATGAAAAGAAAGCATATCAACATGAAACAGAAACACCGGGAATCAAACAGTAACTGAAACCTCAAACCACTAACAAAAAAAGCAGCATAATTCATTTCTACATTCTCCCACTTCCCTTACTAGTCAACCAGATTCTAGAGGTCCCCACAAAATTTCAATTTCTATAGAGCATCAATAATACTCATTGGTGTTTCACACCTGATCAAGACTGAAAGCTCTTCAAACAGAGACGAATGAAAGAGAGATAATAACCTTTGAGTTGGTTTTGGAAGCGATTAATCTCCAACACCACTGGAGCTGGTTGGACGAGTGGAAGCTCTTCACCATATTGCTCTTCACAGCTCACCATTTCCCTTTCCCTCACAAATAAACCAAAGGAGGACTCACTAGCTTATGTATACACAATACTTTGATTTGGTTTCCTTTTTAGGTGCTGCTAAATGACTAAGGTAGGCTGAGTCCAAAAACACCAATAACAAATGGAGGCTCTAAGGGCAATATATATAATAATAATAATAATAATGAGAGATATGTTCTGTTCAAAGGTAGACAAAATGAGAGAGTGCATTCTATAAGGAATTGACATGACCTTTCCCTTTGGTGAAGCTAACTTGATTGACACTTAGAGATACATAACAGGCCGGCCAAGCCGGCTACTCTTTCTACGTTCTACCTTGACACTTTACTGTAACGGTTGTTTTCTTCCTTTTATGTATTTCCCAAACTTTTGCTCCTATTTATGATGAACTTTATTTAAAAAATTTAAACCAAAATGATGAATTCCTCTACAATATTTTCAAATTTCCGTCTCAGCTGTTATCATAATGAATTAGTGACTGTTTTTTTTTTAATTAGACCTTGTTATCAGGGGATGAAAAAATGACTTTTCGTGAGGGGCTGTTGAATTCTAAATAGAAACGCAAATGTCCCAACAAATGAAATTAGCTCAAAGACTGACAAATTGACAATGACATTATTTGTCAGTTAAACCCGTAATCACCCCCTGACCCCTCTCTCTGTTTCTCTCTTGGGGTAAAACAATGCTTATTTTGCAGTTGATTCAACATAAAATATGGTTAATCAAAAGTTACATTTGGTTTTTCAGATAATAAAAACAATAATATTAATTTTGCTCTACCTAATACTTCTTTTCATGGCATCGGGGACCAATAAAGTTCAGCATCAATCATATTGCAGAGCAACAGAATAGTGTATTACTGCATTAGTTGGTTTGGTGACATAAGTTGCAAAATTTCTTTTCAATTTGATGACACGTTTGCTTCAATAATCAACATTACAAGGGCTTAATATAACAGTTATTGAGGGTAGATATCATTTAACTCTAAGAAGGAAAAGATTTTTTTTTTTTTACAATGTTCTTGACTTGCTGCAGTAAAAATTCTTGAGAGGAGTTTACCAAAAAATAAAATAAAAAATTCTTGAGAGGATAGAAAAACAAATATTTTATTTTGGCGGGTAAAAATATTCGCAATATTTAACTCTTAGAACTTGTCAAATTCTATCTGCATCAATGGAAAGATATCACTTTGGACTATTGAATTGCTTAACCGCTAAAACCGTTCTGAGGTCATTTCTCTTTTACTTGGTGTAGGTCACTCAGATAAGACTGCTAATATAACATAAGAGGTGTACTTATGAATCGAATTTGAAAGCGAATAACTAAAGTGGCTTCGAAGAACAAATAAATTTTGGATCAATATTCAGAGATTTGTCATCTTTGCTTAAAAGTATAATAATTGGGGCAGGTTATATTTACAAACTTTTTTACACTAAGTAGGACCGGTCATGCATTAACCACACAGTGTACGACCGGTCCTACTTAGTGTAATTGCAAAAAAAATTTGTAAACGGATTCTGTCCCATAATAATTATATATATATATATATATATAAAAAAAAAAGTACACGGCTCCAGCTGTTTGTGATCAAAAGGCCAAAAGCCAAATGGCAAACAAATCTTGGCATGTAGGCTTTGTTTTATTTTGATACGCGACAAAGGAAAGGCTTTACCAACAACAAAATTAGCAGTTGAGGATAGGTAAGAGGCAATGTACAAATCCTGATGCCATCAAAAATAGGGTTTTCTGATGAAATATGATTGAAGTTTATCATTTCTTAATAGAACTTCGCTATTACTAACCATTGTTTGATAGTGATGTAATCAAAGTGGAATCAAGCTAAGCTTCAGGCGGTCCTCTTTATGGCGTATATTTTATGTTGGTTTGATTTGGTAGCTTAAAAATATAATGTTCCAAACCAAAAAAATAAAATAAAATAAAACTTAAGATATATAATTTGAGATATAGTATTTTATACTTGGTGGCGTAGCCCTTGGTCTTCTACGTGTTTGTCAACCGGGAGTTTGAAATGTATGGGATAACTTGAATTTATAGAAAACTCCAATAAATATTGTTGCCTAACTGCTTAGACAAATCATCAAGTGAAATCAAACAATATGTTTATAGCATTTGTTATATTATTAATATGTGGATACATTTTCTTTCATATATGTCCATGCGACGAAAATATTTAATTATTATTAAAAAAAAGGCTGTAAACAAATAATAATTTGATGTTTCACCCAATTTGATTCCTAGTCTTTAAAAAAGTATAACGCCTTACCGCTTTCAAGATCAATGACTATCCTCATGCATTAATATGACACTTTTTAATGTGTTTTATCCTCACTCACATATTTTCTGAAATTTTTTTCTAGGAGATCACATATCTTAGAATTGCTCCAAGTCAAGCACGCTTAACTAGGGAGTTCTTCTGTTATGGGCTATCGAAAAGTAAATACATTTTATTAGTATAGGCAGTACAAATTAATTCTTATATGCTATCGTCAACTGTGCAGTTTCATATCTGCACAGTTTCTTATATGCTGAACCTCATAATTACTAATTAATCTGCACAGTCTTTGAAATTTCCCTCTTTCATGTATCGATTTGATTCATTCATGTACCCCGCTACCAGGAGCCGCTCCTTGTTTGTGCCTTTTCTCACCGTGCCCTTTCACACCATCGATCACTCTCCACCCTCGACAGCGCTCGAAATGTTACAAAAAGCGCTTCCAATATAAACAAGTAATGATTTCATATTATTAAATGAACCTAATATTTTCACCTACACACAAAAAAAAAAAAACGTTCTTTGGATAAGGATATAAATAATATATAATCTAACATGGAGGATTTAATAGGATTAATTCAAGATGATAAGTCGTAGAAGCTTCTAGGCATAAAATGGTTCTAGATGTTTTTATTCTTATCCATTAATTGTTATGCGTCAATGTCCTCAACTGCCCTTCAGTCGTAATTCTTGATGATTAACATCGATGTGAGGATTATATTTTTGCAAAGTGAAATTCAGGGTGAGGGTAGAGGGAAGACAATATTTCTGTTAATTTTTCGATGATCTCTAAATAAGAAATGTTTATTGACAATTTGTTCTTATCCTTGGTTTGGGCCTTCTTATAGTTCTTTTTTATTGTATGACAAAATGTACATATTGCAATTTTTTATTTTTTTTTTCTGGCCGGGGAATGTCCAATTCTGCATTAATATCCCTCACGATTCACAATATGATCACTTAGACTAACTGTCTGTATTTTATTTTGTACCACTACATGACTATGAAATACTCTATAACTGCCTATGTATGTATGATTCTTCTAATATATAGATCTTCTCCCGTTTGTATTACTCCACATGTTTCAAATATTTACTTGAACATTAAAGTGCCTGCAAATAAACTACCACTTGTTACCCCAGCGGTACATTAGGAGCAGTTAGCCAAGTATTTCAAAACACCATTAAAGGAAACGTAACTCAAAGTAACCACTCAGTTGATAGTTGATCCTTTTTGGAGTGAACAGAATTAATTCTACCAATTCCTCTTATAATATACATAAATATCTTTTCTTTTCTAAATATTTTTTACAACGGTTCAACTTGTACACATACATACCCTCTCACTATGCAACGACTATTATTGATTATTGGGCTCTTCCCAATTTAAAAATTGCTTTACCTAATAAAATTCCTTGTATAAGTAATTGGGCTGAATTGCTGATTTAATAGACACAAATAGCATCGGATTGTCAAAGTTTAGCCCATTCTCATTTTGCAAGCAACATTGTTATCTATGGACATGTCCATTTAACTTGATGCAATGAATAACGATATTGATTCCAAGTTTCCTAGAACGAACTCGAAAGGCATCCCAGATGATAAAAGAGATACGCTTTGGTTGACTTGAGGACTTAAAACTAAAAGTATCAGTCCAAAACAATCTTCAAGGCCACATGAGTCTCATATTAATAAGAGAAAATATATTCATAATATCTCATTTTATCACTACCATTCATTGGAAAATACGTAGTCATAATTTTAAAGTTGTTTTTTTTTTAAAAAAAAAACTTTTCAGAAATTTTTCTTTTGACGTAGAGAAAAAATAATAATTTTAATATTATAATTATGTATTGAACAGAATACATAGTTATAGTGAATGATAGCAACATCATAGTAGAAAAATGAGATAGTATGAATATCTCCCTCTATTAGTAATACTTACTATTTGAAGGTGGTAAAGAAAATATTTTTGACTTTTCTTTTTGTTGATGGTTAATCTTAGCTCGTTTTGTTATCTTCTTCATGAGATAGAAAATTTAAAGAGATCACGAGTCGACTTTTTTTTCCTAAGAGATTAAATTTAGGCCCGTAATTTTTGTTGAGAATTCAAAATATATATATTTTTTTTTTCCTAAAAAATTTGTATGTGCACTTTTACACACTTAAACACACACAGGTCTCCACTGCCTCTGATCTTAAATTGAGACACAAGTGCCTTCTCCTTTATGGGATTTAAGGTAAACCTTATTTCAAAGTGAACGGTTCATATTTTCTGAATCAAAAGTCATCAACATAGTTGTTACTTTGTTGAGAAACAACTAACTGATTAAAATAAGGATTTGATGTTTGTTATTTTAAAAAATATAAAATTGTGTTATGTTAAATAAGAAAAAGATATAAGTAATGAAAATTATCGAGGAAAAAATGGATGTTTTTTTTAATTTAAATTTTAAATAAAAAATATTAATTTATGTCTTTCTCTACTTAAAATAATATAAATCTATATTATTTAAAAAAACAAATATTTTTCCTTTAAAAAATATGTCATATTAAGCAACTAAACCGCTGCATTCTCTAGGACCACTCCTAAGAAAGAGTCACGGTAGTTTTAATCTTATCTCAACACAATTGAATAGAACCTCATAATTACTAATTAATGTGTTATGGCAATTGTTACAGAAATAGCACATTCAACT